ATGGTATACATAAACCCAACATACAAAACACTAAATTACCATCTAGAGAAATGCCAACCTTTATTTACTAAAAGATAAAATTTGTTTCTGGGAACACTGGTAGTGGCATCATGCTGGAACAGTGTATGTCAAAACACCATGAATAACTTTGTGAACTGTTGTGCTTTGATAAATGTGTTTTAAAATAAGATTTAATTTTGGAATTAGAGGCCCAGGCTCTATATCTGGCACTGCATATGGTCCTGAACCAGTGCCAAAAGTGACCCTTGAGCACTGAAATAGGAGTAACTCCTGAGTGCTACCTGGTGTGGCCCAAAAATAAAAACATAAAGATAGGAATTAGATTGTTGAAATTGTTCAATTTGATCACATAGTCAATATTTGTAGCTTCTAGTTTCCCAATATTTGAAACAATATTAGGCACAAGTATATTTTGTCAATAGACTTTTGTCGACAATTAAGATGCACTAAAATAACATTGTATTTGGGGATGGAGTGATAGTATAGCAGGTAGGACATTTTCCTTGCATATTCAATCCCGGGCACCCAATTTGGTCCACCAAGTTCACCAGAAGTGATCCCTGAGTGCAGAGCCAGGAGTAAATCTACACCTTTGTAAGCTATGGCCCCCAAACAAAACAAAACAATCATATTGTATTGAATTCTAAAGCATGAAGCTCTCAACATTAGCAAAAATTCCACATATTCCCTAGCTGTGCTTATATTTTATATTACCCAAAGGGATGTTACATATAATTTAGACATATTCATGATAATCTGCTGAACAAAAATTTTTGTTAAAATTTTACTTTGTCTTGGACATAAAAAATGTATGCTTCCTTTTAGATAAATAAAATGAAAGTCTTTGTAAGAAAGGAAGTAAGGAGAATATAGTAGCTTTGAGAAGAATTTAGTAGAAATTGTATTATTGGTTATGTAAAATATCTTTATTTAGATTATTTTTCACTTGGAACTTGGTTTCCAGTCTATATCAAACAGTTTTTCAATTATCTTTTACTAGATTGAGATCTAGTATCCTGATTTTTCTAGAAGTAGAATAATTAGCTTAAGAAACATTAGTCCTGGACTCAAATGAACAAAGGCAAACCTACATTTTAAGAATAGATTTTTTGTGTACAAATATTCCACACTGTTTCATTGGTTTGTGGTCCTGCCTTTGTTCCGGTACTATGCTGTTTTAATTATTACCACTTTGTAGTAGAGTTTGAGGTTGGGGAGGATGATGCCTCCACACAACTTTTTCCCAAGAATTGCTTCAGCTATTCGTGGGTGTTTGTTGTTCCATATGAATTTCAGGAGTGCTTGATCTATTTCTTTGAAGAATTTCATGGGTGTCCTTATAGGGATCGCATTGAATCTGTATAATTCTTTTGGGAGTATTGCCATTTTGACGATGTTGATTCTTCCTATCCATGAGCAAGGGATGTGTTTCCATTTCCTCGTGTCCTCTTTTATTTCATGGAATAGCGTTTTGTAATTTTTATTGTAGAGGTCCTTTATGTCTTTAGTTAGGCTGATTCTGAGGTATTTGATTTTCTGGGGCACAATTGTAAATGGGATTATTTTTTTATGTCACTTTCCTCTGTCTCATTATTTGCATATAGGAAGGCCATAGATTTTTGGGCATTGATCTTATAGCCTGCAACTTTACTGTACAAGACTATTGTTTCTAGGAGTTTCTTGGTAGAGCATTCAGGATTCTCAAGATATAGTATCATGTCATCTGCAAATAGTGAGAGCTTGACCCCAAATGTATGAACATCTAATCTTTGATAAGGTTGCAAAAAATGTGAAGTGGAGCAAAGAAAGCCTCTTTAACAAATGGTGCTGGCATAACTGGACAACCACATGCAAAAAATGGGCTTAGACCTCAAATTAACACCATGCACAAAAGTTGGATCAAAATGGATTAAAGATCTCAACATCAGGCCACAATCCATAAGGTACATTGAAGACAAGATCAGCGAAACTCTCCACGATATTGAGGCTAACAGTATCTTCAAAGATGACACTCCACTGACCAACCAAGTGGAAACAGAGATAAACAAATGGGACTATCTTAAATTTAGAAGCTTCTATACCTCAAAAGATACAGAGATCAGAATATAAAGACAATCGACAGAAAGAGACAGGATATTTACCCAATACCCACCTGATAAGGGGTTGATATCAAGGACATAAAAAGCACTGGTTGAACTCCACAAGAAGAAAACACCTAACCCCATCAAAAATGGGGTGATGAAATAAACAGAAACTTTTCCAAAGAAGAAATCCAAATGGCTAAAAGCACATGAGAAAATGCTCTACATCACTAATCATCAAGGAGATGCAGATCAAAACAACAATGAGATATTATCTCACACCACAGAGTGGCCCACCTCCAAAAGAACAAAAGAAACCTGTGTTGGCGTGGATGTGGTGAGAAAGGGATTCCCCTTCACTGCTGGTGGGAATGACGATTGGTTCAGCCCTTTAGGAAGACAGTATGGATGATTCTCAAAAAATTAGAAATTGAGCTCCCATTTGGCCCAGCTATACCACTCCTGGGAATATATCCCAGAGAGGCAAAAAAGTATAGTCGAAATGATATTTGCACTTCTATGTTCATTGCTGAACTATTCACAATAGCCAAAATCAGGGAAAAAAACTGACTGCCCGAGAACAGAAGACTGGTTAAAGAAACTTTGGTACATCTACACAACAGAGTACTATGCAGCTGTTAGAAAAGATGAATTCATGAAATTTACATACAAGTGGTACTACATGGAAAATATCATGCTAAGTGAAATGAGTCAGAAAGAGAGGAACAGACATAGAAAGATTGTATTCATCTGGATATAAAATAACAAAATAGGAGACTAACACCCAAGAATAGCTGAGATAAGTACCAGGAGATTTGCTCCATGGCTTGCAGGCCAGCTGCACATGCTAGGGGAAAAGGCAGCTCAGTTAGAGAAGGGAGGACCAAATAAACGGTGTTGGAAGGATCCTCCAAGGATGAGAGAAGCATGCTGAAAGTAGACTATAGACCAAACATGATTGCCACTCAATGCCTCTTTTGCAAACCACAACACCCAAAAGGAGAGAGAAAACAAAAGGGAATGCCCTGACACAGGGGTGGGGTGGGATGGGGGAGAATGGGGGAGGTGGGAGGGATACTGGGAGCACTGTAGGTGGAGAATGGGCAGTGGTGGAAGGATGGGTACTCAATCATTGTATAACTGAAACCCAAGCACAAAAATTGTAAGTCTATAACTGTACCTCATGGTGTTTCACTAATAAAAAAGAAAGAGAGAGAAAGAAAGAAAGAAAGAAAGAAAGAAAGAAAGAAAGAAAGAAAGAAAGAGAGAAAGAGAGAGAAAGAAAGAAAGAAAGAAAGAAAGAAAGAAAGAAGGAAAATAGATTTTTTTGTATGATCAAAACCCCTTCAGGAACAACTTTGTATCTATGTTTCTCATGGTGATTCAATAAAAAGGAATAGAAGATCTTTCTTTGCATTTTTTGATTACTTTATATTAACCGACTTTAAAAAGACTGCATATTGATTGGGATTTAAGAATGTCACTATCTATTGTAAAAAAATTTAAGTACAGACATTTATATCTTTACTATTCCATTAAAGATAGAGATACTTATAATTGTGTTTAAATCTTTTATACAGAGATCTAATACATATAATAAGCAGAGTCAATTAGTATAATACATATATAAATATATATGTACATAATAGGCATGTCATGCCAGATAGTAAATATGCATTTATGATTAACGTGTAATACATTGCTCATGTCAGTTACTGGGCCTAATATTTATAAAAGTCATTATAAAGAGTTCCTTACTAAATATTTTTCCATCCGAATAATTACTAACCACCAATTAAATTTAATGAGGCAATATTTAGTTTTTAAGGAAAACTGTCAAAGCTTCAAGATTTGTAAGACAAGATAATTAGAGATGAAAGTGATCACCACAAAGTACTTTTCATATATAGAACAACTGTTTTTGTTTTCCAATGAACATATACAGATATATTTAAAATACTTTGTATCCTTTCTGTAATTTTCTGTATGTTTTATAAATATGATTTTTATAGTAAGCCACTGAGAAGAATTTCTTTCATTAGCTGAGAATAATGCTTTTCCTGTTTATTCCCTCATTTTATCTCAGAATCACTATAAAGTAGAAAATAATATAGTGCAATTTTTATATGACTTAAAATTGACAAAGTGATACCCATTTGGGTATAATTATGTCATTTGCAAACTGATTTCATATATATTACTATACTCAGTAGATGCTTGCAAAAACCTTTCAAATAAAAAAGGCAATTTTTCAACTCCCTTTTATACATGAAGAAAATATTCTTTTTTGTCTCTAAGTCTGATATTCTAAAATTATTTGTAATTCACATTAATTCAGATAAGTTACAGATGTACGATTTCAGACAATATTTTGAATATTCTCATGCCCTTCAACCTTAGCCAATACTATGCAATAACTTCATTCATTGAATCTCACATATAATTATCCAATGGTTGTAGGAAAATTATGCTATTTTTCAAAAATTTTACAGGATAAATAAATAACCTAATGATAATTTTTCAAATTTGGATCAACACACAAAGACAGAAACATTTTATATATCCATTTAGTGATAAACTCTAAAGTGTTTCCAAAAATGATACCACTCCAAAATACAAGTCTAATTTTCTGAAATTATAAACTTATTATTTCAAGTTCTTTCCAAAGCTAACATTCCTATAATTCCCTAAGCATATTTTCTTTAACCTTTAAAATGCAGTTTAGCATAAGGTGATTTCAAAGTAAGAAGGAATAAATTTCACCTCTAGGAATACACTTAGCATTTTGTTAAGTACTTCTTCCATTGCACAGATTCAAAAAGGCCAATACGCAGCATAAAATTCACATTTAAATTGGTAGCACCAATATTTGCAAATAAAATATTGAATATGTCTTACCAGTGACGGTTAATTCAGTAGTTCTTCTCACAACAAAGCCTCCATATTTTAACTCACAGGTATAATTGCCAATGTCATCTTCTCTGACTTCCTTTATAAGCAGGGTATCTCTTTTGAACACAATACTTGGCCGCCATGTTTTTGTCCTACATTCCTACACAGAGAACATAAAAGAATTGTAAGATATGTAGTACCTGAAAAGTAGAAAAGAGTACTTAAAATGACTAAATCAAAATTTTCTAAAGTTGCATTTTAGAAGGAATAAAGAGTATACAATTACTGTTAAAGATTTTCATAACTTTTCTACATATCTAGGAAATCAGGTACCCCATTTTGAAGAGTATTTTCAACAAGAGTTACTTTTTTAACTATTAAGATTAGTGTCTCCATCTCATACATGTTTTGATTTATTACATATAAGAAAAGGGAGTATTTTGGGTTTTACTTAAAACATGATTTTTAGAAGAAAATAGTCCGCATTGAAGATTGCAAAGTTGACTATTTGGATCATTTTGATCCTGACAATATAAAATATGTCAATGCTTTGGAAAGCAAAAAAATATTCCTTGAGATAATGACTCTTGGGCTGGAGAGACAGTATATCAGTGAAAGAGTTGCTCTGCATGAGGCTGAACCAGGTTCATCCCAGGGAGCCCACATGGTCCCCTGTGCCGGGATTGATCCCTGAGCATATAGCCCAGAGTAAGCCTTGAGCACCTCCAGGTGTGAACCAAAAGCAAAAAAACAAAAGAGATAAATTACCCTACCCAAAGTTTTTAGTGCTAAATTTAATTATTTATACACAATTAAATCTCTGTAATATATATAAATAATATTTCTATAACCCAAGAAAAAATGGCATATTTATGTGCAAGTTCTTTTACAGTACACAAATTATTATTTTCACTGTTAATGGATCTGCCAAATTATTGTCACTGAATTAAGTTTGGATTATAATGATGCTGGCTCAGGATATAACTGTTTGTGCCAAAAAAACAAAAGTCCATTTCATTTAGCCAGACTTGAAATCAATGGAATAAGGTTAAAATAGCTTAAACCTTTTGACTCCATTCAGAGGTAGTTTATATTATAAAAGATATCTGTTGTCACATCAAATTTTTTCAGGCAGCTATTTTGTTTTGTATGATTAGAACACAATTATTTCAGATGAATGTATATACATGTATTGCCTCATATTGGCTTCATAATCTATCACAACCATATAAACTGTGAACTGATTGAACTGCACTGTCCAGTGTCCTCCCATTGTTCATCAATTTCCTAGAGCGGACCCAGTAACGTCTCCATCGTGAGACTTGTTTTTACTGTGTTTGGCATATTGAATACGTCACGGGTAGCTTGTCAGGCTTTGCCATGGGGGCGAGATACTCTCAGCAGCTTGCCGGGCTCTCCAAGAGGGGTGGAGGAATCAAACCCAGCTCGGCTGGGCCAGCTGCACTTAAGGCAAACGCCCTACTGCTGTGCTATCGCTCTACCCAAACTGTGAACTGATTACACTGAAAAAATATATAATGGGGAAAAAAAGATGGCAGCCGCTTGGGAGCATTGTGGAAAGCCAGGTATGAGCTGGTCATGATGGGGCGACTAAAACCACATGGGAAGGGGGCGTTCCCGGCTCATCCTTCACGCCCTACCAAGGTCACGAGTTGCCCCCCACAAGCAGCTCTCCTGCATGGCCATGGCTCCAGAGCACAGAAACCAATCTCATAACTATCTGAATCAGCAGAAATACTTCCAGGGTTAATAAGTAAAATACCAGAAATCCAAAATCCGACATTGTTGGATTCTTGTGACCAGCTGTAGAAAACAAATTATTTCACAATGCCTTTTCAGCATGTCTGATTTGGGAGTGTAAACTCTAAATAATAATGGTGCATCTTTTGTTGAAACAATGAATCTAGTCAAAGTAGATAGAGTGTTAACTAGAATTCATCTGCCTCACAGGCATTGGGAGGGTTGGGAGGGGGGGTTTATTGGGGTTCTTCATGGTGAAAATTAAGTATTGGTAAAGGGAAATGTGTTTGATATTTGCATGATTGAGACTTAAACCTGAAAGCTTTGTAACTTTCCCCCACAGTAATTCAATAAATAAATAACTTTAAAAAAGAAAATAAAATGGGTTATAGAAAAAGAATCTGCATTGTTATAAGACATTTAAATTCCACATACACTTTATTCCTTCCCATAATTGCACTAGTGATGGTCATTAGAGATTAAGGTCTCGATAGTATGGATTGAAACAAAAATAAATGGCCAATGTGAGGATAGTTATTTAAAAGTTGTATTTGGAAGTATGTGATCCTATAGGTATATATGCACTGAGCCTAAATTTTCAGAAAATTTTGTTACCACTTGCAAAACTCCTAAAGTTAACTTATCAAACAAAGTAATGATATGTCTAGGACCTGAATATACACAGGTATTCTAGAAAAATACTTGTTCCTGGAGACACCCGTAATACTTCTTTCCATTCAAGCAATTGTTAGAGCTTACATAAAAATGGTTAGGTAAAAAAGCAGATAAATCAGAGAGAATCAGAGTAAATATGCTTTATATTTTTTCTCATCCAAATTTAAAATCTCATCCATATTTAAATTTAAAATCTCATCCTAGAGCAAGGCACACATTTATCTCTTTAGAAACAATAGAATTATTCACAGACCATACCTTATACCAAAGGATTTCAGGTTCTCTGCTTGGTAGTAAAAAATCTTCTATGTCACGGCATGAAATTTCCTTGCTTTTGCTAAGTTCAGCTTTATCAAAGTACTTCATCTTGGAATTGTAGCAGAGTCCAGTATCATTTTCACCGACTGTCAGTGAGATGGATACTTTCATACAGTATGTGGAGTTTCTGTAACAAAGTGAAATAAATATGATGTCCTGGTGTGAACTCAAAAGGCAAGTGAAAATTAAGGGATGTCAAGGCAGTGTGTTTAATTTAAGACAGGGAGAGAGTAGGGCTGGAGCAATAGTTCAACAGATAGGGCATTTGCCTTGCATTTGGCTGATTCAGGTTCGATCCCCAAGACCCCATGTGTTCCACTGAGCACCACCAGGAATTATCCCTGAGCACTGCCAGCAGTTATTCCTTACTACAGAGGCAGCAGTAACCCTGAACACCGGTGAGTTGCCCTCCCTCAGAAAACAAAATAAAAATATAGAGAGAGATAAGGAGAGGAAGGGTGGGAAAGTTGAAACCTCCATTGATTAATCACTGTCATAGAGATGCAGCATATCTCATGCAGTTCTCTCGTCACCAATTTAAAACATCTTTACTTGCTATGTTGCCATGTATTTACTTTTCATTTGCTGCTCCTGATGAGTAGGGGGTGGGGGGTGGGGGTGATATTACATATAGGATTCTATTGGAAACATGCTCAACAGAGATATTTTATATTTAGATAATAAAAGTAATAAGAGAATATTTAGGACAGAGAAATAAAGCTTTTTCAAAAAGAAAAAAATATGAGGTTTTATGCAAAAATTGGTGGCAAGTCAACAGAGCAGCAGAGAAATGCATCTGTCTTATTAAGAATAATGAAAGAATAGGAAGAAATAAGCATGATCAATTCTTATTGTACGGTTGTCTTGATGGGAGGAGAGGTTTGCAATGAGTCTGGGTAGAAAATAGACTGCACAGCCTTTATCTTTAGTGACCCATATCCATTTGTGTTGGGACCTAGCATCCAGATTGTCAGACAAGAGAAGCATTCTTATGCATTATTTGAGAACAACCCCAACTTGATCAACAATTCTAGATAATCCATTCATTAAATCTACATCTCATTTTACTCATTACTTGCTTTTCGTAAATCAAGTTTATAACTTGGAAATTAAGAGACTAGAAATCTAGAAAGTAAGAGACTAGAAATGGTCAAACACATCTTTGAAAACTTTGGCACCAATGGAAGTTTCCATGTTAAGTGCACTATTTCTGTTGGCTGTTTAAGTCTATGGCTACTCCATGAACGTTAAGAATGTATCAAGCAGGATACAAGCCATTCCTTATTGTTAAAAGTAGAATTAAATGTCAGACATGTAAATATATTCTTTATTTTGATTTTTGTTTTTTAAAATGTTAGGATGGCATAATTAGAATGACCAAATAATACCTACTTTAATTTTGGCATAATAAAATGTGTGTGTGAGCGTATGTAAAGTTTTTGCCTAAATTCCTGGCACAGATATCCTAAAAGTGTTGAAACTTTCTAGAAGGAGTATCAGTTTTTCATAGAAGGGTTTTCTGATCACTTTTTCATCTCAGTTGGAGCTCTAAGAATAAGAAAAGTGATTCGCGGACTGAATCTTGGAGCCTCACTCACTGGTCTTCAGAGAAAAGGGGAACGAGATTGGCAAAGGTGATCTAAATAAAAAAATTTTTTAATGGAGGCTATGCCCCCTGATAGTGCTCAGGGATTTCTCCTGGCTCTGTGACAGGGATCACTCCTGGCAAGGTTTGGGTACCATATTGGGTGCAGGGGTCCTGCTTTGGCCGAGAGGGCAAGACTAGTGCCCTACCTGCTCTCTGGTCTTTCAACAAAAACTTTTGAACAACATAATCAACCTTTGGTGAGCTTCTAGATTGGTGACTATATAGAGGTTCTAGAAGAAGCACACAGAGAGATGCTTGAAGTCTTTGTGTCTCTTTGTCCTTCTACATATTTTCCACCTGGTGGTTAATTCATATTCTTTGAAATACATATAATAGTAAATAAACCGCTTTTCTGCACCTTATGACTCATTCAAGGAATGACTGAGTCCAAGAAAAGATTTTTTAAAAACTGATTTGTAGCAGGTTTATTAGAAGGACCAACAACAATCTAGACTTGCTATTGGTATGTGAATTATAGGGCAAGGCAAGTCTTTTAGGACTAAGAATAAAACCTATGCATTCTTTTTTTTTATTTTATTTTGCTTTTTTATTCAAATTCCTTTTTTTAACTTTTAATTAGTGAGACACCATGAGGCACAGCCGCAGACCCACAAAGTTTTGTGCTTGGGTTTCAAGCACACAACGACCAAATACCCATCCCTCAACCAGTGCCCACTTCCCACCACCACGGATCCCTGTATCCCTCCCACCCCCCACGCCCCCATCCCACCCTGCCTCCGTGGCAGGACATTCCCCCTTGTTCCCTCTCTCATCCTGGGTTTTGTGGTTTGCAAAAGAGGCAATGAGTGCCAATCATGCTCGGTCTACAGTCCACCCTCAGCACGCCTCTCCCATCCTGGGAGGATCCTCGCAACACTCCCCACTTGGTGCTCCCTTCTCCATCTGGGCTGCCCCTCCCCCCAGCATGTCCGGCTAGCCTCCAAGCCATGCAGCAAAATTCCTGAAAACCTATGCATTCTTATGCTAACTCTGTATAGAAAGTGGCAAAACTAAAATGCATTTAAGACATCCTGCTGGCATTGAAGAATTGCTTGGTGTACGGACAAAACATATGTGTTCTTGGAAATGTTGAGAATAGAGAAGATAAACTGATGTCTCAATTATAGCTAATTGTTCATAATTATTTTGAAAGGCAAAGAAAATGCACACCAAATCAGACAGAATAACTGTATAAATGTCAAACTGCAAATAATATGTAGTCTACAGCTAATCAAAAATAATATGTGGCATGATTAACCATTACACTAAGTAAATCGACAGCCCTAAAAAAAGCCATGAGAATATTTTGTGGGAGTTTTTTTTTCTAGAATGATGACATATTCCCTACCCTCTGTCCATCACAATCCAGGAGAATTGATAATACAAAAAGGAAATTTTTGACATTCAATGATATATATACTACGGAGAACAATGTGCAACCACTTTGGTGTCAAAGCAAAGAACAGTACATGAACTGTGATATCTGGTTCTCATAAAAATAAGTAAGAATCTGGCATTCTTATTGAAAGTTATTCCAGCAAATAGCATATACAAAAGATTAAAGGTATGAAACAAATTGGCGTGTCTGAGGAACTGAAAATATTTTGGTGCAAGTCAATTACAAAGAAGTTCTAAAGAAAGATCAGGAACTGAAATTACAGAGTGGACAGGAGCCAAACTGGAACTTATGATTGTCCCTGTGAAGATTTTTACTTTATATTGGAAAATAATGAAATCTGAAATTCGGAATTTTCTACTCATAGATGTAAATGGACTGGACTAAATTAAGAATTTTGAGTACCGTGAGACAAATTACAAATCAATCACATTCATTCATAAAAATGATGGCAGTAACAATACAAGCAGTGTACATTGGGTTAGAATTACGTTAAGAACACATTTAAGATGTAGACTCAGTATGGCAGAGGGAGCAAAGAAAAATGAGAGGAATCCAAGATGAAAAAATTTTTTTCTCACAGGAGAATAATAGGGGACCAGGAAGATAGCTCAGAGGGTGTGCTAAATTTTAGTTTGAAATTCACAACCAAATGGAAAAATAACCTCTTTAGTTTTGTCAGCAATATAGCTTATGCATTATTCATTAATTTTACTCCACAAACTTGAAGATGCTATTCCTAAATTTGCGTAAAGATAATTTTTAAAGAAAAAGTTGGATTATTTTCTTTAAAGGAGATTTAAGGCACATTTAAATGCTTTTCAAGAAAATATTCAAGTCCTGAAATAGTACTTTTTAAATATGATTCTTCTCAATTTATAAGTCAGATCAGTGAAGTCTTGCTCTGAATTGTTCACATCAATATTTTAAATTTATAAGTCATAGACTTTCTTTTTCTTCAAATGATTTATTAATTTGGTGATAAATCCAAACACCCAGATTTTATATTAAAATTTTATAGCAAATTTTGATACCAAAAAACAGCCAGAGTCAAATGAAGAGCAAGTTAATATTTAGTAACTTTTTAAAACTAGCAAGAGTAAATTAAATCCTAGTTTGTCATTTCTTTACATGTAAAAGGAGAAAATAACTGGAAAGAACACAGAAGTAAATAAATCATTTACAACAAATAAAGCACATAGAACAGCACCAGTCTTAAGCACTCAGCACTCACTTAAGCACTCACTTATTGTGAGTTCTGTATTATTTCCCTTTTTTCTATCTTCATATTATACTACAGACACAGGTTTGATTAGATTGCAGATTAGATAATATTGTTATGATTATACCTACAACTATTTGCTATTTAATTAGAGCAAAGCCTAAGAATTAAAAAAAATCTCACTTTTTTCCCTTTGTGATATCAGAGTGAGTGGGAAAGACATAAAAATTGATGAAAATGAAGACTCTCACTCTAGCTATCCTTTTCCTTCTCACTAGAAGTGTAGCTGACTCTACATGTTCAGAAATGGACTCTAGATGAGTAAATTTAGGTATTATTTTTTTCCCTGACTTCTATTCTACCAGTTTTGTGAGACTAACTGCTGATATACAACAGTTGGATAATGTCTGGAATTTTAGACTCCCCATGATAACACTATTTTCAAATCAATTTTAATGTTTTAATACTTGTTTACTGTTACTGATCATCAGGAAGTGATTTTAAAAGCTAAAAATAAAGCAGAATCCAATAGATGCTATAGTATTTACTGCAAAGAACTAATGGAAGCAAGCAATTTGTGGCACATTCATAAGCATAACACCCCAAGAAGGTGAATAACACACTCACAAAGTAAAGAATTTCATCCAACGTCAAATTTTTAGTGCGACCACTATGGTCCTATGGCTGTCTGCCATCAGGAAAATTATATGAGACAGAGTAAATGGGATAAAATGGAGAATGCTTTACTTGGACTTATGGTACAAATCATCAGTGCATATTCACTAGACTTCTGTTTAAAACACATGGGGTACAATCCAGGTATAAAGTTAAATCATGACTGTTGATTTCACACTTTACAAA